GTACTACTGGATGGTGGCTAGCAAGATCATTAGATACTGATCAGGAGGGAAATGTTTTTATTGGTGATATTAAAAAAGATGAAGAGAGTGAACTGTCAACATTGGAATCACTTGAACTATTTCATTATGCAATGACAGAAAATGTTGATATACCTAAAATCAAGGAATTTAAGACAAGGAGCAACGTTGAGAGAGCAAGTCTCTTTTTATCATTAATTAAACAAGATTCAGTTCTGCTAGATCAACTTAGAAAAAAAGAACATGGTAAGATATATTTGTATGTACTAATAACCTATAGAGTATTTTAAGGGTATTAGATATTGTCCATGATCTACGATTTTAATACTATAAAATTTATCAAAATTAAGGTGTTTGGCATATAAAAAATTATTGGCAAATTGCAAATTTTTGCACATTATAAAATCTACAAAAGTAATCAGCTATACAGAAGTGTTGCTGTTGTTCATTGATCATAATCTTTGTTCATGATCTGCAATTTTTCAATACTTTTTAAATAAATGAGATGAGTGTACAAATTTTGTATCAATTTTTGGCAAATAAATTTTTTTGTACATTTAGCTATTAAAAATATGATATTAGAGAATTATATTTGATGATAATAGTAATTCATTTTATTACAATTGTTTATGTATTTAGAAAAACCTAAAGCAATTAGGTGGTATGATGATGGTGTTCAACTGACCTCTCCATCTTTAATACAATGTCAAGAAGTAGTTTCTCTATTAACATATAAACATACGAACATTGTCCTCATCAAATCATCTCCTGATGTTGTGTGTGATCTGTTGCCAGTTTTATTACAAAATGAAAAGGTGAGAGACTTGACAATACAAGACACTCAACTAACACAGGACTGCATCTCATCCTTATGTAACTTACTGGCTAACAATAAATCATTATTAAATTTAGTTCTTACTAACTGTTCCATTGATGACAAAGCAGTTGCTGATATTACAAACGTACTACAAACACACAATAACACACTTAGAGGATTATTCTTCATTAAGAATCCTCGTATTACTTCAGTTAGTGCTCAGTCTCTTTCTGAACTAATTATCAACAACTCAACATTAATTAAATTACAAATAACAGGCACTTCAATATCATCTGATGGAATATTACTAATTCTTGAATCGTTAACTATTAATAAAAATATAAAGCTAACTCTAAATAAGATACACAACAAAGACACATGCACAGAATACCATGACTATAATATTATAAAAGATAGATTAACATTTTACTAATAATAATTGTATTTTGCTTTTTATAGATGATGCTGACTCATCAATTCTTTAATAATTATTAATTTAAACACAAAATAATTAACAAAGTGATTTATAATAAACACGTACAAAAACAAGTAAATACAAAATAATAATAATAATAATAATAATAATCATTAATTTATTATCTTAATATAACTGAACTATTATGATGGTCCTTTGTCCCCTCCCCCTCCTCCACAGCATCCTCCCTTAGCACGTGGTGTATCAGTCTGTCTTAAGAGAGAGGCACCAGCTGGTAAACTAGTTAAACAATCTGGTGGTAACTTACGAGCTATGAGACAAGAGAGAGAGATTATGTTACAATAGTACATACTACAGTACATCATTAGTAGCTACTCACTTATTTCAATGAACATTTCCTCAACATTCCTAGCAGTGAGGGCACTAGTCTCTCCAAATATGGCATTAACTTCTGATGCATAAGTCTGACCTTGTTCAGCTGGAATCTGAGAGGAGAGGAGAAGGGAGGAGGGAGAGAAAGGAGAGGAGATAAAAGGAGAGTGTAGGATTTATTACATTTTCTGATACATATTGATGTCCTTATGGTGTATAGCAAGTTTGAGCTGATTAGTGATTTTCTACTTTTCGGCCATCTTAAATTTTATTTAATAGATTTTTGCCGATTTTATTAACGTAAATACCCACAATAATTTTGGGCTACAAAATTTCTCGCTATATGGTAATCATAAGAGTTTACCTACCAGAAGCTCCGTATGTGTTGATAATCCTCAATGGTTCAAAGCTAGTATTCATCTGTTGTCTACT